CGGCGACTACTGTAGTTTGAAATGCGGAGATTAACTGATTTTTTTTTGATTTCGCATGATAAACCATTTTAGTGTTTGAATTAATTATTCTACTTTAGTTGTCATCTTTTTTCAACCCACAAATCTGCTATTCTTAGGGACCCGAAGAAGGATAGCAAACAGTCCAAAACACGAACCAGAAACCCTGACAGACCCAGCTCCAACAAGTCAATTATATATGTCGTCGATTTGAAACCAGATGCCACGGAAAATGACCTGATTGATTACTTCACCAAATATGGCACTGTCAAAGGCGCTAGGGTTATAATTGATAATTGCACGGGCCAGTGCCTTGGATATGGACATGTTACCTTCGCCGACAGAGGGGCTATTGAAGGTGGTCTTCTGGAGGCCAGCCATTTCCTTGATGGCTGTCGCATAAAAGTATTTGCGGAAATGCCCCCTGGATATGGCGAGAGGAGGCAACCGTAAGTCCATTTATGACTTTTTTCTTTAGCATTTGTGTTTATTATTTACATTTAAATATCAAGTTTCTCTTTTCAAGGGATTATTTTAATATTTTTTTACTGGTTTCAGTTTCTAAGACAGTATATTTGAGGCAACTGCCTCTAAGACATACTAACCTATATGCGGACAGTTGAACAACAATGGACCAATATTAATTTAATATAGGCAATATCGGAGGTATTGCCCCTATAATTTATTAATTGTCTGTGCCAACATTCCCCGACTATCTTAATTCTGTTAGCCTTCACAGATTGAACAAAAAAGGCTTGGCAATAACGATGCTTTAACCGCTTCAGTCAAGTCTTATTTTGGGTGTTCAAGATAAAAAGAATATTGAGCGTAATATTGGCTAAAAAAGTATCAAGTATGTTACCCAAGTTCATAAAGAACATGGCATGGGAGATTGTTTGCATAAGAGCGAGTGCCCTGACAATCGTTCTACTTTTTCTACCAAGCAGCATAGTTAATTTACTTAATTAACATATATATGTAAAGGCCTGATTAGAAGTATCGAAAAAAACGTATGTTTGCCAATTCATCTTCTGAATTTTTTTATGGGAATTTTTGCAAATGTAAGATAATCCAACGTATCCCGAAATGTTAGTAAGTTTATTAAAAAGGAAAGAGGTTAAAGATGTCCATTTAGTGCACAAAGATGGCATTTCATTTCGAAAACTCTGTTGTTTACTTCAACCTTAGGACCTACTTGAAAAATCCATCAATTAATATGCGTGCGATACTTTGTTAATGCTCCATTAAACTCCATACCTACCTCACAGATCTGCTGACCGTGATATCAACAATTCCACCAGCAAGCAAACCATATTTGTCAGTCGATTTGAACCTGACACAACCGAAGCTGATCTCAAGGCTTACTTCTCCAACTTT